CGGGAGCGCCACCGCACTCCCAAGCGGCGCACTGTAGCAGTGCACCACCGGGCTGGCCCTAGGATGTGTCTTTAATTGGCATCCTTGTCAGTAGTTGGGTGAAGATGATGTCTCCACCCTACCTCTGGCCCTGTGTCTGTGGCAGCTCTATACTGGCCATCCCGTACCGGCTTCAAGAGGGAAACCCAGGGTCCTGCCTCCCTCAAGGGGCTGCCATTTCTTGGCAGAGGGAGCTGCTGGGCCCATTCTAGCCAACAGTGCTGGGGGAAAGTGAGCTTATTCCTCCTGCTTCCCCCTCTTCCCAACCCCTCCGGCCTTCCTGCTGTGATATTTATTCCACTTATGGGATTGTGGGCAGGGAGCAAGGCCTGGAAGGAAGAAAGCAGCCCTAGGGTTCCTTATGGTGATTTCTGGAGCCAGCTGTTTTGTGGTTAAACTGGGTTCACAGTTTGGGCCAGACAGGCCGTCAGGAGAGGGACTCGGGCATAAGCACTCTGAATGTCCCGTTGTATCCTCCCCAGAGGCCTCAAGGGCTGCACCTCTGTTATCTTGACAAAATGTTTCTCTGGTTCTGCTGTGGCATCACACTGGTAGCAAAGTGCTGGGGAACTCTCTGGAAGTATCCGTTGGGTTAAAGACAAGAGCACCACTTTAGTAGGTCCTGTGGAATAAATAGGTCTCTTCACCCTCAGCTGTAAGTTGAACTTCCATCTTGCAACTGAGGCAACCGTAGGCTGGTATGGCTCCTTGCGGTTCCTGTGGCCAACTCTCTCCTCCATCAGGACAGCTGCTTACACACCTGGTCTCTGCTTTGAGTGTTTCCCTCTTCACTTGGATTCCATTCCCTTCATGGAGGGCTGATGGAAGCAGAGCCCAGGGGAGTGTCCTGTGCTGTCCCCGTGCCCTGCATTGTGCTTATGTGTGCTCTGCCAGGAGACCCAGCCGGTGGCAAGACCCGTGCCCGTTCCCATCCTCACCACTCTCCTCCTGCTTGTGAGAGGTGTGGAGGGCACCTGTGTCATTCCAGTCCTCCTTCCCCTAAAAAGCTTCCCGGTCTTCTTAGGCCCCCAGACTAAGGGTGGATTTCTGGTTCTTCACACGGGTTGGGCGGTGGGGTGGGGTGTGTGTTCTGAGATTGCTTCTGAAAGGTTCTCAAAGGGGGAAAATCTAAGATGACAGGTAGATGACAGGTGCAGGTAGTAAGAACATTAGAATTATGAGACCATGCTGAGTAGATGTGGTTCCAAGAAATTTGGTGGAATATTGCACAGGTGGCAGGATAGTGGATCAGGGACAAGCGATAGTCCTGTGAAAAGGCTCTGGGTACTGTATGTGATGAAAAAAGGCAAAGATGGTTTGGGTTTTTGTTTTGTTTTTTAGTGGAAATACAATTGTTAGATGAGTGCATTGCACAGAGTTGGCACATCCAGTGAAATCTAAGAATACTTATATGGGGACCTCACATTCAGTTCACTCCTCTCTTCAAGCCTCAAAACCCAAGAATAAGATGCTACTAGGAAAATTTGCATGTGATATACACTAAGGAAAAATCCGGACTGTTTCTCTTTCCCCTGGAGAGAAATGGTACAAAGACAATTGAATTATTATAGCCCTTTAATTTAATTAGTGGCTTGATAGAGGTAGGAAAAGGGTATGTGAAATTTCCCTAAATGTGCTCCCAAAATCTACCTCTAGAGGTCTCTTCTCTCTCCCATTTCTGATTTGAATGGAAAGCACCTTTATCCATTTCCCGTGAAGGCTTTTAAATCTCCAAGCTCCATTTTCTGGCTGGAGGGCCCTGGATTCGGCCAGGGAAAATGGTGGTGTTCTCTCAGGAAGTCCTCATCGGCATCCCAATCTCACCATCAGAGCAAGGCTGAGGGAGAGCAGCCGCAGGAGCTTGCTGTGGGCTAAGGCTGAGGGAGTTCAGAGTCCTTTCAGGGAAGAGGGTGCCTCATTCTCACTGCTAAATCTCCCCAATCACAGAGTATGTCAGGAAGCCAGTGAGAACAGAGACTTCAGGTCTGAGTCTTGACTCTGTTACACAAGGAACCACTTTCCGGCCCTGGCTAAGGCTTGTAGAACGCTGGAGTTTGTAGCAAGGACTCCTGTGACTTCAGAGTCAGGACAGCTCTCCTGGGCAGCCTCTTGGTCCCAGCGTGTCATGGCGTGGTGGCAGTGGCAGTGGTGGTGGTGGTGTTGCTGCTGCTGTTTTTATTTTGTGCGTGCACGTGTGTCTTCTCTCTCGTTTACCATTTGCTTTTGGTCTTTCCTACTGAACAGCCGCAGTTCCGGAGTCCTGCCCCATAAACATTGAGGAATAGGTATGAGATCTACCAGACTGTATAAATGAAAACCATTCTATTTGGGGATCCTAACCTAAATGGCAATATTACCTTATATTCCTCCTGCCACACGTAGACACTTAGTACCACCCTTAACTCATGTCTCAGGCTGCAGTACCTCCAGAAGGAAAGACGCCAAAATCAGTTTGGGTGTGAAAGACACCTAAGACTCTCCTGGTCCACTCACTTTTCCCCCAGAGTCCATCACCACAGGTGATTAGAGCCTTAGGATGGATTATCACAACAGGACATTTATGGGAAATAAGCAGTTTATACCTGCTTAATCCTAGTGCCGTGGAAGGGTTTCATGTCTTGGGCTAGCCTACCCTGAGGCTGACCCTGGACATTTGTGAGTGGCCTCCCTCAAGCCTCAGGGCCACACTCGAGAGTTGGTCGGCCCTGTTTCTGATGGTGTGACAGTGACTAAGGCATGGTCCCTGTGCAGGAGGAGCTTACGGTCTAATGGAGGAAGAAAGGGTTCAGCAGCTTCCACAGTGAGAGAAGTGGAGCAGTAGTTCGGGCTGCTGGGAGAGCACTGAGGAGCAGCCTGGGCCTCATCCAGCTCGGAGGTGCCTTGTGAGGGGAGGACACTGGGTCCCTTGGGGCTCAGGAGGCCCACAGAGACCAGAGGGCAAGATGCCTTCCCTAACCCCAGGGAGCTGGGGCTTCATCCTGAAGGCCGAGGTGGCTGAGGCCTTGCCTTTCCTCTTGGAATGAACCAGAAGGAGCCCATCTGTGGGCTGGAGGATGATTACGGGCAGATCCAGCAGAGGAGAGGATGGCCCCACCAACCCTTGTGGGGTGGGACATGCTACCCGTCAGCTACTCTGCTCAGCACTCTCCGCTATCTCGTTCAGTCCTCACAGCACACCTGTGAGGTAAGGACTTGTCTCCCCTCTGAGGGATGCGAAGACCACGGCTTGAAGTAAAGTGGCTTGCCCAAAGCTGCACAGTCAGTACGTCGTAGCCTGGGAGGGAAGCCCAGCTGGGTGTGACTGCAGGTGTAGAGAGCTCGGAAGTGTGCACACGGGAGGTGGTGGCAGATTGGATGCAGAGCATGAAGGAGAGGGCGGCACCAGGAACGAGCTCCAGCACAGGCAGTGGATACTCCTTGCGCAGGAGCAATGGCGGGTTTAGGGGAGAAGGATGAGCTTAGTGGGTGGTACCTGTGGGTCCCCAAAGCTCTCAGGCTAGTGTCTCCAGGGTTAATGGCACCAGCTGATAGCAGACCTCAGCCTGCTGCTCAGGGGCAGAAAGAGATGAAAAGCAGCAGATGTCGGGGTGGGGGAGGCTGGAGCGTCACACTGTCCTCACACCGGATGCATTCTGTCCCTGGCACCCTGCTGGGCAGCCAGTCCCTTCCTGCCCCACCGAGGCTCCCACAGCAAACACTAACACTTTGGGCCTGAACAAACACACTCTTCTCACTCCCCTCCAGCTCTTCCTGCCCTGACAAAAATAGCTCAGCTAGGCCTAGCTTCCTTTCCCTTGTCCACCACAACATATAGGCAAGCTCCAAAACCAATTACAATTCACAAGTGGACCCTAGGGTAAGAATAAAGAACATCTTTCTTGTCCCTCTCTGTCCATGGGCCACAGTGGCAGTGACTGTCCCTAACCGGGAGGGGGGGCAAGAGCAGCCCTGTCGGCACCTACTTCTCCCCATCCTGTCTCATGTGCTGTGGCTTGCACACTCATAGGCATTTCAGGTAACACACATCCTGCTAATTTCCATGCCAAACTCCCAGGCTCCCCTGCTGGAGACACCATCTAGACTTGGCCAAAGGTCTGGCTCCTGTAATCTTCATTTTCTCTTCCTTAGGTACCTGGCAGGCTGATGACAACGTTGTCAGTCGTCGGAACACCCAGTGCCGGCGTTTATCATCCAGCAGCCTGGAGGACCCTGAGGACAGGCCCTATGTGTGGGGTCCATTGGCTGTCTGAGCACCTCAGCCCCTGAACCCAGGCTCCCCTCCTGTCCTCGCATTCCATCGTCCTCACTGGGCCGCCGGCCTCCTGGGCAAGACACGTGCAGACTTTATACTCGTGTGAGAGCTGAGCGTTGAGTTCAGCCTGCTACTTCTCCCAGCCTCCTCTCCTGTAACCATGATCCTTCCCCTCTCAGAAGGGACTGGAAGCCCTCCTCTCACCTTGTGGGCTGAAGCCACTTGATGAACTGCAGCTCAGGAGACCCTTGCAGAGACTCTCTGGAACATTCTGCGTGTCTTGATCTTCAGGTGGAGCTGGGATCCACGGGCTAGTTGTTTCTTACGCACCGTTTTTTCCTTAGGGGGTAGACTGAGAAGACTCAGTTTCTGCAACTTTGTTACAAATACCCATCTGGCATTTCCTGGTCTCTGGCACATCATAACCGATTTGAAACCTCCAGTTTGGGGCGGAGTTGGGGGTTGCTGCTGTGAGAAGGGAGAGCCGTATTACACCCTGTGTGCTGTTTCCCTCCAAAGCGTCAGGAGCTCCTTTCTTAAGGGCAAGGGAAGCAGTGGCAACCAAAAGGTGGGTTGAAAAAAGAGCCCTTCTAGGAGCAGAGCTAGTCTCCTGTGCTCAGGTGCCTGTCTGCTTAGGTGGGAGCCCTTAAGTCTGAGAACTCCCCAGTTAAGATGACTATTACCCTTAAGGAGGCTATCTCCTGAGGTATCCTCAGGTGCATTCAGGAAGGCCTGAGACGTCGTCCTAAGGTGGTATTTCACAAAACACATTTTTGACCACTTCTGTGCCAGGCACTGTGTTAGCAGCCATCACATAACCATGTTTCATCTTCTCTACAGCCCTATGAGGTGGTATTCTTATCCTGTCTCCTACCCCCTTTTTTTTTAGTAGTTGAAGAAATAGGCTAAGAGAGGTGTGGACCAATGATTTTCAAATTGGTGTCCCGGATCCCCAAAGGAAGTGGTAAAGACTGCTGTGCTAAGTCCAGGAAGCAGCCCGGGGCCAGCAGCAGTGGTCTGGGAGCTGGAGGGCCATAGTCAGGGCCTTCACCTGAAGACCCTCCCCACCCGTGTTTTCCTCCCCTGCCTTCCTAATCCACTGGGCCTGACAGGTAAAGGGGGAGGTAGAGCCTTCCAGAGGCTCATCAGTGATTAGAGATATTGCTGCAATCATGTGCCCTGCCCACCCCAGCGTAGGGGCGTACACACACTTTTCAAGCAGAGTCCTGAAACAGTGAGGCTGGGCTGCAGGTTGTTGGCTGTTACTCCTTTCTCAGCGCTAGTGTTATCAGTGGATTCCACATGGCTCTTGGAGAGATGTGTTGTCTACTGGCTTTTAGAAAAGGTGATTGTTGGGCCGGCCCGGTGGCGCACTGCTACAGTGCGCCGCTTGGGAGCGCCGTGGTGCTCCCGCCGAGGGTTCGGATCCCACATGCAGATCGGTTCCCGCTCACTGGCTGGGCGAGGTGCGGGTGCAGCGCCAAGGGTTGCAATCCCATTGCCGGTCCCGGTCCGGTACGGGCACGACACTGAGGGTTGCAATCCGTTGCCGGACACGAAAAAAGAGACAAAAAGACAAAAAAAAAAAAAAAGAAAAGGTGATTGTTTAGTGGGGGCATGAGGTTGTTTGGGAAAGCCTTCTGCTATGCCCACTGTGATGGACTGTCTTGGGGTTGGAATCATTACCCTAGAAGAGTTTTTCAAGGCCATTTCCAAGGCCTGTTGCCTCAAAAAGAGCCCAGTGCCCAGGGGTCCTTTGCATCTTCTGTGTGGCTGCAGAGACCAGGAGTGCAGTGACTGTCACACTGTCTAGTGGTTGTGGCTCATTTCCTGCTCTGCTGGAGGGAAGCCTGTTGTCCAGCCTGAGATGTGACATAAGCCGAGCTTGAGTTCCTGTGTCTACCTACCCTCTCCAAAATACCACAGCGCAGCAGACTCTGCCATTTCACGCCCTACCTAATGTTCTTTCCCTCCCCCAACATTCTTACAGCCTCTTTCATATTTAAAATTTAAACCAGTATTAGCTGAGCAATAACCCCACTTCCTGATTTCCTTGAAGTGTGAGCCCCAGAAGCACCAGGCCACAGGGAGCTTCCCTTAGCCTGGGGGGGTGACACACAGACCCACCTCCTCTCCCAGCAGGTAGCATTCATAGTGTGGTGTTACCTGAGGGGATGGGGGAAGCAGGTTCAGGCAAACAGTAGCAAGGGTGGCTAGGACCCTAAGAGGCAGCCATTGCCTTCATCCCTTCTTGGAGGATTTGTGTCCTTCCTCTCCCCTAAGAGGCTCCAAAAGATTCCTCAAGGCCGAGACACATGTAGGTTAGAAATGCCCTTTACTCTGTTTCTCAGTTCCTGTTTCCCCTATCCTCCCTCCCTCCCTCTCTCTCTCTCTCTCCCCCCCCCCC